AGGTTAAAAGCGACCAGCCAGGCCACGGCAGCAGGAGGGCTGGGGGCAGAGAGGTGGCAGACCCTCACCCACGTCACTGCGCTGGCTGTTCTTGTCGTTGGGCAGGCGGGCGTACGCTGTGTAGTGCCCCCCGATCATGCCTCCGTAGTGGTTGATCACAGCGTACAGGTCGTACACGGGCAGCTGCTGCTCGCCCTTCCGGCCGATGCAGAACTTGCTCAGGTCCAGGTTCCTGGGGAGGGACACCGGGACAGTCAGGGGTTGACCAGCGTTAGCAGAGCATCACAGGCAGTGCAAACCTAGGCACGTTGTCCCACCCAGGCTCTCACCGGACAGGGAAGTCCACCATGTCATTGATCTTGTCCCTCCAAATAAAGCTACGGAAGGAGAAGCGCTTGAGCTGGATGATGAGGACATTAGGCAGCCGCCACAGCATCAGCTGCTTGGAGGCTTCACGGTGCTGCTTGCACTTGGGGCAGTACCTGAGGGAACAGTGTGCTCGTTACCAGTGTGGGGAGAGCCTCAGGTCACCCCCAAGGTCCTCCACACAAGGGAATGCAGGAGGTCTCAGCCTCCTCTGCCAGGAGCAGCCAGCACAGTCCTGTGGAGCACTGGCATTGCTCTGTGCTACAGCATCAGCTGCTTGGAGGCTTCACGGTGCTGCTTGCACTTGGGGCAGTACCTGAGGGAACAGTGTGCTCGTTACCAGTGTGGGGAGAGCCTCAGGTCACCCCCAAGGTCCTCCACACAAGGGAATGCAGGAGGTCTCAGCCTCCTCTGCCAGGAGCAGCCAGCACAGTCCTGTGGAGCACTGGCATTGCTCTGTGCTGGCAGCCTGCCAGCAGCAGCAGTGTGCAGGTCCAGGCAGCTCCCAGAAAACCCCCGCTGGTGCCTGGGCCTCCGGGCTGGAACCCACCCTGCCGCTGTCCTCACCACGCTTCCTCTGGGGCCAGGACTTCGGGCTTGGTGAAGAGGTTGAGGCACTGCTCCAGGGTGAAGTGGCCAGCACGAGCTGCTTCGCTGGCTGAGCCCGGGTCCTCCATGCACTCCAGCTCCTTGGATTCCACCAACACAAACTCCTTGAGGCGTTCATTGTTCTTCCACACCAGGGCGAGGGAGCAGTCGTCTGTCAGCTCCAGGAGGGTGTCACCTGCAAAGGGGGCACATACCTCACATGCCTGCCCCACGAGGCTGGGCCAAGTCACTTTGCCAGGGCTAGAGGCAGTCTTGCTAATCCCAGCTTGATACACACACCGCTGCCAAGAAGGGACCCCATGGCCAGGTTCACCACTCCAGGGCAGCAGAACCCCCAAGCACCAGTGGGCAAGGCTGGCAGCACCTACATAACCAGCACCGGATGAGAACATCCCATTCAGACAAGAGGTGACCCAGAGATCACAGACCCTCTGTGGACACAGGAGATTGAAGGGAATTGATTTATTTGCTGAGCAGAGCAGGAATTTCATGCCAGAGAA